CACAAATTAATCAATTTGATACACCACATTAAGAAAATGAAGGATAGGGGTGCCTGGGTGGCTCAGTCAGTTGAGCATCTGACTTTGGTTCAAGTCATGATCTCACGGCTCGTGAGTTCGAGCCCCGCCTCAGGCTCTGTGCTGACAGCTCAGAGCCTGAAGCCTGCTTCAGATTCTGTCTCCCTCTCTCTCTCTGCCCCTCCCCTGCTCATGATTGCTCGCTCTCTCTCTCTCGCTCTCTCAAAATAAATAAACATTTAAAAAAATGAAGGATAAAAAAATAAATAAACGTTAAAAAAAATGAAGGATAAATGAAGGATCATCTCCTAGAGGCAGAAAAACATTTGGCAAAAATCAACACCCAATTATGATAAAAACCCTACACAAAGTGGGTATAGAGGGAATATACCTCAACATAAGAAAGGCCATATATGACAAGCCCACAGCAAACATATTCAATGGTGAAAAGCTAAAAGCTTTTCCTCTAAGATCAGGAACAAGACAAAGTGACTCTTGTCACTTTTATTCAACACAGTATTGGAAGCCCTAGCCACAATAATTAGGCAAGAAAAAAAAGGCATCCAAATCAGAAAGGAAGAAGTAGAAGTGTCACTATTTGCAGATAACATGATATTCTAGACGGAAAACCCTAAAGATGCCACCAAAAAACTATTAAAATAAATTAATTCAGTACGGTTGTAGGATACAAAACCAACACACAGAAATCTGTTGCATTTCTATACACTTATAACAAACTATCGGAGAAATTAAAAAAACAATTCTATTTTATCCGCTCCCAGCCTGTACTTTTGGGATTTTTAATGGAAGCTTCATCATGCATGCATCATCAATCATTAACTTCATTTTCAGCCGTTTTCCCTTCCCAAGAGAATGGGGGATGGAGCTGGCAATTCCAAGCTTCTAATTATGGCTTGGCCTTTCTTGTGACCAGTCCCCACCCAAGAGCCATCCAGAAACCTATACAGAGTCAAGAGTCACTTCATTAGAAAAAAAGATAATCCTATCACCCAAGAGTTTCAGGAGCCCTCTTCTGGGAATCAGGGGGCAGAGACAAAAATGTATTTTTCATTATCTCACAAGACCATTACTCCAACTGTCAGCTCCAGGACCCTACCCACCTCGGCCACAATCTATCCTAAAGTTAGGACGAGGCTCCAAGAGAAATGTTGAAAACCCAAATCCCTCCCAGGCCGTGGCTTCTCTCCTTATCCTCTTTCCAAATCTCTCCACAGTCATCATGCACAATAGAACTACAAAGTCTGAGAAATGTAGTCTTTTGCTTTATAGCCTCCAGGACGTGGTAAGGCAGGCTTCGGATTGAAGAAATGCCCATCAGCTATATCCATCACAGAGTTGTTTGAATTCTCTTCCCACCTCTCAGGAGGCATACCTTGTTTTATTGTGCTTCACTTTACTGCCCTTCACAGATGCTATAGTTGGTTTGTTTATTTTTTATAAATTAAAGGTCTGTGGCAACCCTGAGTCAAGCAAGTCTATAAGCACCATTGTTCCAACAGGATTTGCTCACTTTGTGTCTCTGTGTCACATTTTGGTAATTTGACAATATTTCAAACTTTCTTGTTATTATTGTATTGGTTATGGTGAGGTGATCAGTGATTACAACTTACTTGAAAGCTTAGATGATGGTTAGCATTTTTCAGCAATAAAGTATTTTTTAATTAAGGTATGTACATTTGGGGATTTTTTTTTTTACATGTCATTACACACTTAATAGACTACAGTGTAGTATAAACATAACATGTATATGCACTAGGAAACAAAAAAATTCACTTGACTGGTTTTATTGCAATATTCACTTTATTGCAGTGGTCTGGAACCAAATGAACCTGCAATATCTCTCAGGTGTGTCTGTAGTGGAAAAGCAGGGGGAAAAAAGCAAGAATAGGTCTGCATATTCCAAAAACAAAGTTGTCCTAACATTCATGATCCAATGTATTTCAGGTTTCCAAAATTCACTGAAATGTATGGGATACATCTGTCACACTATTCAGGGGAAGAAGATAAACTAAAAATGTCTCACTGGGAAGAATGCTGCTGAACAAAATATTTGTTTCATCAGTTTTCAAAAAGTGGGTGATTAATTCTGTATTTCAAGGAAAAAAAAAAAGATAGTCAAGTTCCTTCCTAATAAATTTCTGGGGAAATAAAAATTTAAATATAAAGAAATCACAACTGTACTAGAATAAAAATATTAAGCCAACAACGATAAATTCATAGTAGTAAAGCCCCGTCTAAGCAAAACACTAAAGACAAAAATCATTTAGAAAAAGGCCGAAAGATTTGACTACAAAGAATTTGTAAACTTCACCAATGAAACACACACACATATACACACACACACACTTCAAAATCAAAAGACAAATAACAAGCTAGAAAACATATTTCCAATACATATGGCAAATATTTAATATTAATGCAAGAAAGATCCAACAAAGCAAAAGACAGTTAAAAAATGGGCAAGGAGCATAAACAGACAAGGAACAAAAAGAAGACAAATATCCAAGTATCCATCAATATTAGGAAACAAACATTAAACAACAAAACACCATTTTTAACTTCTCAAATCAGAAAATATCAGTGTTGGTAAGAATGTGGGAAAATGAGCAATAATTTTGCATACTCTTTGGCCTAGAAATGCTGCCTCAGAAGAATTAAAAATGTTGGAGCATAATAAATACTTGGTTACAAAGACATTTGTTAGTATTTATAACAGCAAAAAAAAGTAAGAACCTAAATACCTACATATTATCTGGCTAAACTATGGTATATCCATCCATTCATTGGAAGATCTGTACCCACTAAATATGATACTGAAGAAGACAAATGACTAAAAACACTAAATGATAATAAAGTTGTTTCCAAAAAACATGCACATGAAACCCCATTTTTGCTCCTCTCCCTTGCTCCACACCCTGACTCAGAAAAGGAGAAAAAATACATACATACACAGATCAAGGGACTGGCAGGAAAATCGGTAACATATCAACAGTAATGAGGCTATGGCAATTAATTTTTTTTCTTTATGCAAAGAATATTACTCTAAATGTTTTATAGAGAATATGTACTACTTCTGTAATCAGAAGAAAAAATCACTAAGGATTTTTAACCAACTCACAAAAAATCATTTCGTAGAATAAAAATTCTAGTAAATAGAAATAGGAGTTTTAAGGGGCGCCTGGATGGCTCAGCGGGTTAGGTGTCCAACTCTTGATCTCAGCTCAGGTGACGATCTCACGGTATCTCACGGGATCTCACCGATGGTGGGATCAAGACCCTGTGGTGACAGCGGCACAGCCTGCTTGGGATTCTCTGTCCAGCCCTCGTTCATGTCTGTGCTTTCTCTCAAAATAAATCAACTTTAAACACACACACATACACACTTTAAAAAAAAAGAAAATGGGAATTTCAAGTTAAAATATTTAATGATTATTCTTGTGACTATACCTGTTTTCTATCATTTTCTTCCCCTCCACTACCAATTTATCCATTGCCACCACTAAGTTTCCACCTATTTCCTTCCTCATTCACCAACTCATCTAAGCAAAGGTGCAACCACTTATCTTCTCGTTTTTACTAAAATAGTACACATCCATGTAGACATTTCTTCAGTATCAATGTGCATACTTAATCTAGCTTTCTCCCACAAATGTTATCAAAGCATCCTACCTTAAAAAAACATGGAAATAGACATACACAAACATGTAAATTTCAGTCAGAATACCCATGTTAACACCAGTCCATAAATTCCTACTTAGGTTGGATACATACTCCTTATAGACAGAGATACACATTCTTAGAGACTCAGGAAAGGAGGGGTCTTTTCTCTTTCCTGTCTGTATCCTACCCATTCATCTTCTACCCACCTCTCTTCTAAGCTGCACATTGAACTGCCATGTTCTGTTTCACTCGGAGAACGAACAAAACCTCACACTTCCTTGGCATTTAGTACATAATAAGAGTTCAATAAATACTCTTTTGTACTTTTGGAAGCACTCACAGTCCCCAGTGTAGAAACTCTAGAAGGGGAGGGCCCTTGTATTTGTTCTGCTCATCTCTGTACCTAACACTTCACAGTATGTGGCTCTCAGTAGCACTCAATAAATGATTGAACGACTACACCACTGTTATTATTAATCCAAGTTTCTATAATACAGTTAAAAAGCAGGCACTGTGTTCCCCATTTTATAATTTTTAAAAATGAGGACTGGAGAGGTTAGGTGTTGAGTCAAGCGTAGCCAGGCTGGAAAATTAGGGACTGGGTCTTTCCATCCACAGGAGATGGCGCCACCCTCGCTGTCTGTAGACAAGTTTCGAGCTTCAAAGATTCTAGGGAAGGATTAGTATCAATAAAATACAATTATTGAGGTAAAGAGCTAAACTTTGTTGAGCTGCATATTTTAAAACAGAGCATTGGGGGAGAACTGGCCAACGGAGAATTATCAAAGAACTGCAGGGACACTGTAAACGAAAAAGAAAGCTGTAGCAAGGAAACCAATTCTGGTAGTTTTACAGGAGCAACTAATGAAATTCATCAGGACAGGCCTCCAAACCCACCAGAACAGAAACTTTAAACCCACATGCTTGGTGCGCCAGGACGGCCTCGGCTTCTTCAGAAAGAAAGGTCTTACCTTCGGGGCAGGGGTCTCATCGAGTTCCTCCTCCCCGGGGCCAGTGCCTCAGGGCGGCAGGCAGGCCTCACTTCCCCGCACCGAATCCCATTCATCGCGAGCCCGCCCGCCGACCCTCGGCTGCGCAGGCGGGGGCAATGGCCGCCTGGCCCCAGGCCGGGTTCCTCTGTGCCCAGCCCACTTCAGGCGGGAAGGGAAGCAGGTAAAGAACCCACAGGACCGCCCACCCGCGGAGCCGCAGGTCCACTCGGGCGCGGAGTCCCCGGCCCGGCAGAGGCGAGTCCCAACGAGATGGCAAGCCCCGGAGGAAGTCGGCCCGGCGCCACTGACCTGTCAGGCCCCACTGCCTTAGGTCCTGCTCCTGCACCCGAGCCCGCGCCGCCTCAGCTCGGCTCCGGGTCTGAAGGGCCAGTAGGAACCCGGGCATACGGCCACTGCACGTCCCCGCTGCTGCACGCTCCATCCCGCCCAAGAGGGTCCGCCCCGCGCCCCGCGCCCCGCGCCCGCACGCTCAATCCAGCCCAGAGAGGCTCCGCCCTACGGCGCGCGCGCATCCTTTCCGACGCTCACCACCCCACCCCGGCGGGCAGCGGCCGCCAGAGGGCGCGTCCTGCGCTGAGTTGTGGCCAGAGCAGTGCTCGGAGTTAACCTTCAGGCTCAGTTCTGCCTGTTCCGGTTGTGCTCTGCATGCTCTTGACTGGTGGGAAGCTCAGACAGTGCTCACCATTCTTTTCTTTCTTTTTTCTTTTTTTTTTTTTTTGATACAGAGAGAGACAGAGCATGAACGGGGGAGGGGCAGAGAGAGAGGGAGACACAGAATCAGAAGCAGGCTCCAGGCTCTGAGCCATCAGCCCAGAGCCCCACGTGAGGCTCGAACTCATGGACCGCGAGATCGTGACCTGAGCTGAAGTCGGACGCTTAACCGACTGAGCCACCCAGGCGCCCCTCACCATTCTTTTATTACCAACATTGACTCTGTGCCAGGTACATGCATAACTGCTGGGCTCTGGGATTACAGAATTCAATACTACATGGTCCTCGCCCTCCAGCGACTCACAGCAAGAATGTAAAGGATAATGTGCTCATTTCAGTTTGCACCAGGGATAAATTAGTTTGAGCCCTGAAATCCTTTTAATCTTCCATGTTGGCTGTCGATCAAAGTTAGGAAACTCTGTAGGAAATTAAAATCATGAAAATTGTCATTACCATTACCATTTCTCAAGTGAATTATGGGAAGCAAATTGAAGCAACGTGTTAGATTAGGGGTCACCATGACAACATCAGCTTTGAGTGGATTTGTGATGTCGTAATTTATAATTAAACGTGTACCCCCTAAGGGCGCCTGGGTGGCGCAGTCGGTTGAGCTTCCGACTTCGGCTCAGGTCATGATCTCACAGTTCATGAGTTCGAACCCCTCCTCGGGCTCTGTGCTGACAGCTCAGAGCCTGAAGCCTCCTTCGGATTCTGTGTCTCCCTCTCTCTCTGACCCTAACCCACTAGCATGCTGTCTCTCCCAAAAATAAATAAACATTAAAAAAATAAAACTAAGTCTTCATCTGTGTTTAAAAAAAAAAAGTGTACCCTTGATACAAAAGTATAATAACCAAATAACTGCAGTTAATGATGCAGTTAGAGGTGCTGCCCTCAAGGTTTTACAAGTATTTAGTTTCTCATTTAACCCTTTCAGTAACCCTATAAATAGGCACTAGAATTGTTCCCACTTTAGATGAGAAAATCTTAAATAGGAACCACATTATTCTCTGGGTAATGTCATTAGGCTACCATTAGCCCCAAATTAGTCCCATTTAGGTTAACCTTGGTGCTTCTATCTTCTGTAAACTCAGATCAAAGTTGCGCTCCCTCCCCCATATCACCCACTCTTAAAATAAAAGGGAGAAATTAGTTCTGAGCCACAAAAGAGATGACTTCGGGTTGATTTATTCATAAAAACCCAAAGCACGGTTATGTGTAGCAACTTTTGTGTGGAGTCATTCTCTAATACCGATTGAGCACCTACCATGTGTCAAGCACTCTTGGCACTGGAGATAGAGGCCACTAATCTCACCTGCAGAACATTTAAGTAAAACATTTTAAACTTATATTTTAAATTAAGTGTATATTTTAAAAGGAAGAGACAGACAATAAGCAAATAAAAATCAGGTAGTTATCAATGTTAAGATGAAAGAGAGTCACATAATGGGGCTACACTGATTTCCTACTTGATGTTTTCTCAAAACCATACTTAGATTTGTATCCTTTCCTGGCTTCTCTGGAGGGGCTTCTGCCCCCTTGTGGTTGCTTATGAGTGATTTTCACATTCTAATCTCTATGTTTGACTTTTTTCCTCTGCTCCAGGTTCTGTGGGGAGACTTATCCACTAAAGCAGCAATATCAACCACCTGCCACTCAAACAAAAGAGATTTATTATTCTTAACTTAAAATACATTTGTTTTAGCATAGTACCAGCAATAGGGTCCTAGCTATCAGCTAAAATTTCTGTTGGTAGATTGAGTCTGACATCTAAAATACAGCGAAGAAAGGTAGCTGAGAAACTCCACGTCAGCTAGTAAGATGACACCTATAAAAGTTTTACTCTAGATGGTCTATGAAAGGGGGTCTATAGAAGGGGGCAGAGCGGAAGTAGGGAGACCAGTTAGGAGACCATTGCGAGACAAGAGATAATAACTGTTGGACCAGCGTGGTGGCAATGGAGTGGTGAGTAATGGTCAGATACTAGGTATATTGAAAAGGTAGAGTCCATAAGGTACACAGATTGAGCATCTGAGAAAAGTCCAGGAATAAAGGATGATTTCAGGAATTTGGCCTGAGCAAATGGTAGAATGGAGTTTCCACTTATGGAGGGGGTAAGACAGAGTGAGGAGGTTTGAGCAACAAGAAGAATTCATTTTTTAATGTCAACTATACTTCGATTTAAAAAAAAAGAATTCATTTTTGGACACAGTAGCATGGAACTTCTCTGAGATATATCCAAGTAGAGATTTTGAATAATCAGGTAGATTAGTCTGGAGTTCACAGGAGAGGATAGAACTGAATGTGTTAAAACAGAAGTCATCATTTTCAGATGGATCTTTTTTTTTTTTAATGTTTGTTTATTTATTTATTTATTTATTTATTTATTTCTGAGAGACAGAGACCGAGCACGAACAGGGGAGGAGCAGAGAGAGAGGAAGACACAGAATCTGAAACAGGCTCCAGGCTCTGAGCTGTCAGCACAGAGCCCGATGCGGAGCTCGAACTCACAGACCGTGAGATCATGACCTGAGCCAAAGCCGGACACTCAACCGACTGAGCCACCCAGGCGCCCCTTCAGATGGATCTTAAACCTTGGTATAGTTGGGACCTCTTAGAGGATGATTGGAATTATAAAAGAAACTTAGCCTTGGATAACTAATATTGAGAAGTTGAGAAGAGGAGCAGGAACCAGCAGAGGAGCCTGAAAGCAGCAGCCCGTGAGATAATGGGAGAACTAAAAGCATGGCATCCCTGAGGTCAAATAAAGAGGAATTTCAAGAAAAAGGAAGTGATTATCTGTGTCAAATGCAACTGAGAGGTGGGATAAAGATAGGATAGAGAAAGAAACACTGGATTGGGCAAGATGGTGGTCATCAATGACCTTGCCAAGAATGATTTTTTTTTTTTAAGTTTTTGTATTTTTTTTATTTTGAGAGAGAGTACAGAAGGGGCAGACAGAGGGAGAGAGAGAGAATCCCAGGCGGGCTCCTCACTGTCAGTGCAGAGCCCGACGCGGGGCCCAAACTCATGAACCGTCAGATCATGACCTGAGCCAAAGAAGGACACCCAACTGACTGAGCCACCCAGATGCCCTGCCAGGAATGATTTCTATATATTATGAAGCCAAAAGCCTGTTTGGAGTGTGTTTCAAAAAGAGGAGGAAGGAAAACGGAGACAGAATGTCACACATCTCTTTCAACTAGTTTTGCTGTAAGAGGGTTTTCCCAGAAAAACAGGAGCAGTAACTGAAAGGAGATATGGGGCCCAGGGGAGGGTTGTTTTGTTTTCAGATGGGTGATATTAAACATGTCGAATACTGATGGGAATGATCCAGTAGAGAGAAAAACTGATCTTGCAGGAGTGATGTCCTTGAGGGAGAGGAGGTGGGAACCAGCGCACAGTGGAGGCGCCGACCTGGATGAGCACAGACAGTTCGTGTGCCGGAACACACAAAGGCACAGTACACAGGTCTGGTGGGGAAAAGTATGTGCAAGGTCTCTTGTGATTGTTTCTGTTATTTAAGTGCAATAAGAAACAAGGTCATCAGACAAGCTTAAAGAAGGGGAAGGAGATTTGGGAGGTTTCAAGAGGAAAATGTGTGAAATAGTTGTCTGGGAAGTGGGATAGTGAATTGACTGCAGAAATATGGAGCATTGCCAAGCAGCAGCAAGGCTGATGGTCCTGAGACCAGCCAGCATGGTGTGGTCAACCAGTGTGTGTTGAGTGCAGGTGGGGAATAGTTAGAGAACTGGATTTTACCAAGGTTGGATTTTTGCTAAATGAGAATAGACAATGATTATACTGGCCATATCTGCAGTGTCTGTAACAGGGGTGAACAAGGCGGAAAAAAGTCTCTGTACACATGGAGCCTAAATTCTAATGATGGAGAAAGACAAAAAGGGGGGAGGGTATAAGTAAGTTATCAGGTAGTATTGGTGCTAACAAGATAGCAAAACGGTAATGAGATTAAGAATAGGGCTGAGAAGGGGCGCCTGGGTGGTGCAGTCGGTTAAGCGTCCGACTTCAGCCAGGTCACGATCTCGCGGTCCGTGAGTTCGAGCCCCGCGTCGGGCTCTGGGCTGATGGCTCAGAGCCTGGAGCCTGTTTCCGATTCTGTGTCTCCCTCTCTCTCTGCCCCTCGCCCATTCATGCTCTGTCTCTCTCTGTCCCAAAAATAAATAAACGTTGAAAAAAAAATTAAAAAAAAAAAAAAGAATAGGGCTGAGAAGCAGCTGTGAATAGGGTGGATTAAAGAGCAGGTCACCAAGCGGATGGCATTTGAGCTAAGATCTGAATGATGAGAAGCCAGCTGTCTGAGTCAGGAAGAAGAGTGTTCAAGACAGAAACCACAAGGAAAAGGCACAGAGGCAGGATTAGCAAAGAATCTAAAGATTCTTTAGATTGATGAGGGTACACTTGAGGGGACTCGGTCCTTGATTGGATATAGCACTGAGGAAGAAAGAAATGTTGACATTGACTCTGGGGGCTTCTGCCTTGGAAAACTGGATGGATGTTGATGCCAGCACTGAGACAGAGAACACAGGAAATAGCAGCTAATTTGAGGAAGGGATGATAACGATTTCACTTTTAGGATATGTTGAATTTGGGGGTGCTTGGGTGGCTCAGCCTGTTAAGTGTCTGACTCTTGATTTCAGCTCAGGTTGTGATTTCGCAGTTGTGAGATGGAGCCCCGTGTCGGGCTCCATGTTGGACATGGATCCTGCTTAAGATTCT